GCTTATAGGATGTTGTCTCCCCCTTTTTCTGTCCTATGAGTTGAAACGCAGGTTGTACCGAACCACAGGAATACGACAAGGAAGGGTGCACTGTTGTCACTGTCCGGTGCATTCGACCTAACTGCGCGCTCTGCTGATGGAATGTCGTGTCCCATTTCCTTTCTGTTCTATGAGTGGAGACGCAGGTCGTAGTTAATATTATTTCTCTTTCAGGTACGACGTGGTTGGGTGTACTGTTGTCTTTTTCCGGTACACTTAACCTAACTGCGCGTTCGGCTGATAGGATGTTGTCATCCTTTTCTTTCCTATGAGTTGAAACGCAGGTCGTAATTAATCAAACCTTTCTTTCAGAGATTTTCTGCCAGCCGCCTGCCAGTATTGAGGAGCCCCGTTGTTACCGTTTTATTGCTTTTGTGTAGAGATAGTAGCCAAGTCAAGTATGCTCTATAGTTATTGTTTGTGACTTTGCTTTGCTAAATCACTTCCTTCTTTCTGGTATCTGTACTACCGCTTACTGCATTAACCGTTTGCATGTTTATCATTCCGTTAGCTCTGCTGTGCTTTGCTTTACTCAGGTCACCGCTTAACACCGCATCGTTATTTTACCGTTTTCCGTAGTCACCCCTGTATATAACCGTAGCCGTCTGTCACCGTTTAGCTGTAGATTTAGAGTAGAATTGTGTAAATAGGTAGAATTGGACTATAAATAAATGTAAATATATACCAATTTGTGGCCTTTTATTCCTGTGTGAAGTCTAACTCTCTCTAGACCCTCTGGACATACCGTGTCTTCACTGCAGCCGCCCGTGTAGTGGTGTTTCTGCACTTTAAACAGAAACTGGCGCCCGAGGGAACCGCCGCGCCGCCGCTCAGGCGTCATAGTGACGGACAAGTAAAATACGACGTCACACTATTATGAAATGTATCTGTATCTCGAAAATGGTTGAGATTTTGAAATAAGTTTATATGACAAAGTACCATTATTTTTTGTCACGCTATCTCTTCACGAAGTCTCATAGATAAAACTGAGACACTCTGTATACATTAATATTTTATCAAATAAATTAAGATGTTTTAAATAATTAATTAATAGAAAACACAGACACTTAGTTGAGCTTTGTTGCATCTGTTACTATGTAAATGCTAAAATTAGAGCTTTCAAGGTTTTTTCTTTTCTTTTTGTTATCGATAAAAAACTTGAAAATTTTTATTTACTTATTTGTTTTTAATCGAAGGTCGAAACAGATGAACATTTAAAACAATATGGACCAAGAAACATTCGATTCTTTTTTAAATTTTTTAGTTATATTTTATTGTCATTAGTGACATTACTCTATGATGTTTCTCTAAAAGTTAAATTATCCACTTTTACAAAGAATACGTTGAAAGCAAAATATCGAACTATTTCTTGAAATAAAATTATGACAATTTGATCAAATTTGTATTGATAAACTCAAAATGAACGCGTTAGGAACTTTGCCCTTAATTGATTGATCTTCTAAATAATAAAAATTAGTAAAACAGTAATACAAACTTTATGGATGTTATTTAGCATTTACTTTTTTTTAAACAAAGCTGACTTATGACATACAACAACTACTTATTGTACTTTCAAAATTTGAATCATGCCACAAATTGACTACATAACAATTTGGTAGTTCTTATGAAAAAAACTTTATTTACTATAATGTTTTGATGAATATAAAAAAATAGTTTTAAATGAGATAAAATTTTATAATAAAATATATACACCAAAAACTAATATTTCCAACACAACCTTATTAAATACAATTTGACACAGGTAGATAGTCTAAGCATATCTTTAAAATACTAAAATTGAATGATATATACTGTTTTTCAACTTCTAACAAAATTTAATACTTACTTTCAAAATCAACGTCTCCAACAATTTTAGTTTTTCCTTCCTTTGTTGGCACTCTTGTTATACCAACATCTATAATACATACACCAGGCTTGACGATATCTGATGTGATTAAATTGACAACACCTACACAAAATTAAAATTTTAATAGAATAATAAACAGTTCAACTAAAAACATGCATGCACCCTCACACGAAATTCCAATTTTACTGTAAATTAGAGTGGGCTAATTTTGACATTTTTATGGGGTTCTTCTATTTTTAGAAAAGAAGAAAAAAGTAATTTAGATGTCTGAGGCTAAATTTTCAAAAAAGTTCAACTCGATTCATCTGCTTTCTATGATAACTTATGTTTGCGAAAATATTTAATTTTTGTAAATAGTAGTTTTTCAGTTAATACAAACTTATACTATTTTTTTGAAACATCCTATAAATTTTAAGATTTTTGGATCTATTTAATTCTTTTTTCTCTTATAAAGCACTAGATTCTTCACACAAAAAAAGTAGATAAGAAAAATGTTTTGTATCTTTTAAACCAATCAAAAAATACCGAGGTGTACTTTTTGTTATTCAACTTATCAGAAAAATCGGAACAATCACTTTTTTCTGTCTCTTATATAGGAAAATAGGACAAATCTGTCAAAAGTATTGAAATTAGCCAAACCTTTACAATGCAATGTATTTTTTTAAATTTGATTACAATAAACTAGAAAAATAAGTTTAAAATTTAAAAATCATAGAAAACGTCGTATTCCTACGGCTGCTGTATCCAATTAAATAACAAATACAAAGCAATATTGCCACATTTCTCAAACCAACTGTTAGTAACTGAAATTTAAATCAATTGGAATGAGCGCTGGTGGCTATTTTGTGATTCGAGAGAGACCACCTTTGCAGTGGCGGCTCGTGACATTGAGAATAGCTGAAGCATATTCATTGATATACTAAAAAGAAAAAAGAAGCGCCACAGGCGCAAATTTTCAATGTCAAACGACTTTAAATAAATCTGAAAATTTTTAGTTGCATTTAGATATTATAAAAAATAGAAAAACTATTATTATTATTAAACACGGCATACAGAAAAGTTTTTAAATAAACACTTCCACACAACCACTTATACTACAAATACCATTCATTCCGGAACTACCGAACGTACACTTTGTCTTTAGATTTTGCCCTTTTTTCCTCATCGAGAGACGGCACAGGTCTCTGCCAATTTAAAAAATCCTTTTTGTCCTCAAATTTTCATCTGGAAAATGGCATTTCCAATAAAATACATACTAGATCATATATAGGAAACATTTGTACAATAGGCCCATTCAGTAGAATTCTTTTTGCATATTCCAAAAGTATATCTTTTAATTAGTTAGTATGCCAAAAATCAATTTTTTTTTTTTCAACGAGAAATGTGTGAAATAAATTAATGAAAACAGAGCGCGGAAACACGTTGAGCAACCATTGCCTGACGTCATAATACCGGTACAGGCGACTGGCAGAGCATTCCGCTCCCATTCTGTGTTAATACAAACGGTGTGTGGTTCGCTTGGCAGTTTCGTTAATCATTATTGTTATGTCTAAATGGGTCAAAACCGAGGATTGTACAAATATTGTATAGTACCAGGCTGCAAAAATACCTCAGGATCGACTCCGAATAAAATATTTATTTCATTACCAAAAAACGAAAAGTTTGTGTGATGTTATCCACGGTTTTCCCAGCCACGGTATGTAACTCAAAATCACCTTCGTTTTTCTTTGGTTGCACGTCTAGGGGGTTGTAAAATATTATTATTTGAACATTGAACGAAAAGTTTGTGTGATGTTATCCACGGTTTTCCCAGCCACGGTATGTAACTCAAAACCACCTTCGTTTTTCTTTGGTTGCACGTCTAGGGGGTTGTAAAATATTATTATTTGAACATTTAGAGCACAATTTTCAACTTTATGCCGGAAAAAAAAATCTACCCCATCTAAATATTCGTGTTCACAAAAAATTCGAAATACGTCGGCGAGAGGGACCTATAAGCAGTTAAGAACCACTCTCGTTTTTCTTTGGTTGTCCGTCTAGGTGGTTGTAAATATTATTACTTGAACATTTAGAGCAGAATTTTAAAATTTATGCCAAACAATATTTCTACCCCATCTAAACGTACCCGTTCACAAAAATTTTGAAATACGACGGCTGGAGGGACCTATAAGCAACTTAGAACCACTCTCGTTTTTCTTTGCTTGTCCGTCTAGGGGGTTATAAACATTATTTTTTAAACATTTAGAGCACTTTTCAAATTTATACCGAAAAAAAAAAATTTCTACCTCATCTAAACGTTCCCGTCCACAAAAAAAATCGAAATACGTGGCGACCTTTTTTAAGGGTCTTACAAATTCAGAATTAAATATATCACTTATTATTAATCCTATTGACCTAATTTTTTAAAGATATATTTAGGTGGTTAAATACTATAAGAAAATGAAAGAAAAAATTTAAAATTACATATAACTGACTGGGCCTATTATTGATACAAAACAAATATTAACAAAGAACTGTTTAAAGGCAGGCGATGATTGGGCGATGTCGATGCTGCTTCAATTTCCGCGTCATTCCTTCCGCCATGCCGTAGTTTACTCACGTATTGGCCATCTCATTGCCATGACAACTGCCGTAAACAACGCTAGGAAGTGAAGCGGAATACAAACTGATTTCGATCCGCGTCACTTGCTTATGTCAGAGAACTAAGTTGTTGTTGTTCTCTGCTTATGCTATACGCTGTATGGTACAAGGTTGATGTTCGTGCTCAACGAAGGCGATGTCTTTTTAGAAGGCGTTCACCACGCAGCTATTCTGTTTATTTCTGCGTATAAAACAAACAAACACAATACATTTTCAATATAGAATTATACCTAAATCATAAAATTTATGTAAAATTAAAATTGCACAACCAAACGGAAATTTTAGGTGAAGCGGTGCGTCACTTGCGTCACCTGGCGAGCCGCCACTGCACCTTTGGGGCTTGTCTCTTTCTTTAAGTTTTCTTCTTGTTGAATGATGTTTAAAACAATAATGAGAAATATACAGGGTGTTTTCAAAAGAAGTAGCTCAAATGGTACTGCAGAGACTACAAAAAAAACATGTTTTACATAAAAATGACCTTGGTAAAATATTCACCCCTAAAAAATATAGAAGCTGTAATTAGAAAACCAAAAAAAGTATAATAGGCTTCTAAACAATTTTTTGAAAATTTCTGCCCCTTGAATGGGGTTGACATAAGCATCCCATGAGTTATTTTTTGCTACAACTTTTTTGTTTGACAAAAATTGAATATTCAAAAATACGTATCAGATAGCCTAGTTAAATTTAAAACTTTTACCTCTCTCACTTTTTTACTTTAAAACTAACCATTTATTAACAAACAAATTAAATTAATTATCATTCGTATTACAACTCGCACGACTGCAATTAAAAAATATTTCTGTCATCACATCTTTTGTGATTTTTACGAGTGCTTTCTTGGATTTGCTACTCAATAATCTTATTTTTTTTACAATAACATGGGAAGAATTATGGCAAATAATATTACTAATGATGAATATGTTGACATGCTGCAAGTATTTTCTGAATATTGGAAATACCATGCGGCAGCAAGAATGTACCACAAGAAGCATCCAAATCACCCTTTCTCAGCAGTACAAAGAAGATTTGAGAAACTGGAAGAATACAGCCTCATTACAAGGGAAATGTCTGTGGAGAACTGGGCAGTTTGGATGCCTCTGCTTGTATATTCTTCTTGCTGCATCACAGTTTTACCGACATTCAAGAAATATATCAAATATTCTTCATAGGAAAATTATTTGCCATAATTCTTTCCAAGTTATCTTAAAAAAAAAAAAATTATTGAGTAGCAAATCCTCGGAAACGCTCGCAAAAGTCACAAAAGATCTAATGACAGAAATTAGCATGACAGACGTCTACTTAAATATTTCTTAGTTGCAGTCCTGTGAGTTGTAATGCGAATGATAATGAATTTCATTTTTTTATTAATGAATGGTTTTAAAGCAAAAAGCAAAAGAAAGAGATAAAAGTTTTAAAATTTACCAGACAATCTGATACGTATTTTTGAATACTCAATTTTTGTCAAACAAAAAAGTTGTAGCAAAAAGTAACTTAGGGGATGCTTATTTCAACACCCTCTAAGGGGAAGAAATTTTCGAAAAAATGATGAGATGTTGCACATGGACTAGTAGATTTTATATTTTTTTAGGAACGTAATTTTGGCAACTTGGTGACGATAACAAGTATGTCTTTTACTTAATTAATTCTCCCTGCTTATATGTTTCTTTAATTTAAATCTGAGGAACATTAAGTGCAAAATAAATACATATCATTTAATACTTCTTATGGGTTCATTAAAAGTGAAGTTGAGTCTAAAGAAAAAGGTCTATTGTGTATTTGTAGCACATGTACATATAAATTAAGAACCAAAAACAATGGTTTTCTATTAAGAAGGCTATTTTCTATTTTAGGTGGGAAGTAAGTTTTATAGGGCAATAAATGTATTACCTGTGGCACTTATAATTATGTCAGCTTTCTTTGTAAAATATTTTAGTTCTTCACGAGGGGTATGTCGATGACATAAAGTTACTGTGGCTTCCAAACCTGGACAATCATATTTAGCATCGGAATGCAATAGTAAAGCAATAGGAAGACCTACATTTTTTGATCTACCACAAACCACAACATTCTTTCCAAAAGTTTCAATTCCAGATCTAAAATTTTAATATATTTTTCATGAGCTTTTTATAGTTTGACAAATTGCGAAAGTTATTTTTTAAACATACTGACATACTTATGTTAACAAAATTGAAAAAAGAAAGTCCAATTAGTTGTATCAGATTTAAAACAGGGTTCTATTTAAAAAAAAAATCATTATATTTGTGACTGAAAATTGAACTTTTGAGGTGCATAATTACTGTTTCATCGAAAACATTAAATAACACCAGAACAGTCCGACTTAAACCTAGTAATTTTAAAAAGTGAAGAAAATTATTTGATACATCCTACAGTTTTTATAGTCTTAAATCTTGGTGTAAACAGAAATATTAATAACTTTCCTTTTTATAAGTTCAATTACCCCCAATGCAGTACATGGAATAAATGTATCCATGTTATTTGTTAATTTTCCCATATTTATTATATGAAATCCATCTACATCCTTCCTTGGATCAACAGCATTACAAACATTTTGTTCAGAAACATGTTCTGGTACTGGAAGTTGCACTAATATGCCATCTACTGTGGAATCATTATTAAGTTCTTTTATTTTAGAAATTATGTCTTCCTCTGCTGATGTTTTTGGTAGACGTATAGTTTTGCTCACAATACCTGAAGAAAATTCTTGTAAATATACTTATAGTCCAGACGGTATCTGTTTCAAAGAATCCATATTTGGGTGAATCGTATATCCACGGAGATTTTTGGCTTTCAAATATCACTAGAAATGAAAATGTTTCTATGCGCATAAAAAAAACGTGGGCTTAACTTTTCGCGGCACAATATGTTTAAAAAATTCGAAAAATGTCATATTTTTCTTCTTATTTAATTATGTATCTTTTCAAGAGTTGATTTTAGGCGAAAGTGGAAGAGGGAAAAAAGTGTTTGTAATTAAATTTTACAAAATAAGACTAATTACAAATAGAATGAATCATGATTATTATTGTAAAAATCGAAAAAATCGCCAAAAATGGGGTTAAAAAACATTACTTTTTAGGGATTTTTTTGGGGTCTCTAAGTTGGGTATAGGACCTTCATACTTAGCTCAAGAAAAGTTCATGTTATGTAGAATCATCACACCAAATTTCATCAAAATCGGTTCGATAGATTTTGCATAATTTTGCAATCCAGATTTTGAAAAAAAAAAAATGCAAATTTTTAAAATTTTGCAATTTTGCAGTCCCTTAGATACTTGGAAATTTAATCACATATAGAAGGTCTCTCAAGCTTGCAAACGCTTTTTGAAAAATTCGAATCTGTCAATTAGGAGAGCTTAGACCAAGCAAATTAAATTTTTACTCGAAAAAAGTCCTATCCGCGAGATTATTGTAAAATTGTCTAATAATTGTCTAATTGTCATAATACAAGACATCTCTCATCTCATGAGTCAAAAACTTTTATTGGCTAACTTTTCTATTTAAACAAATTAACAAATAAGTAAGGAAAACAGTTTTTTCACTTTGCAGGAAAAAACATCAATTTTAGCGAAAAGTGACTCACAGACAGCTTATAGGGAGTAAAATTATCTACAAAATGAGACTTGTTAAATTAAAATCGGTTAATAAACAAAAAAGTTATTGCAAAAAAACAAGAAAAGTGCCCATTTTTTAATTTGTTTATAACTATCGCATTTATTGTTAAAATTTTATAAAACCTATGACAAGTTGAAGGTTTTGTCATACAAAATAATTCCGAAATGGAAATTTTAATTAATATTTCGTTTAACAATAATTTTTGTGACATTTTTGTAAATTAAAAAAAATCAGTATAAAAGTATACGGACAGTTTACTTATCAAGTAC